TAAACTGATGCAGCAAGATTATTGCTAAAATGAGGGTTGGCATTAATGGACATGAGATGTTGAGGCCTAGGTGAGAAGAGGGCTCAGAGGAACTTAACTGAAGTGTAGTTGAAAAGAGAGTTTTTGAATGTGTCATGAAAATTGGATTGATCCTAAAATAAATTATAAAAACTATACCTTGTATAAAATTTTATTAGTAAAATTCTAATGGAGATACTATACTACAAGTAGAAAGTAAACGAATCCCAAAAGATGCTTGAGATGAGAATACTGGTAAGATTAAGAAATTAGGAACCATATAAGTAAATCTAAATAATGTTTATATAAAATAATAATGATGCTTGATTTATAGGACTAAAAAATATACTGTTGTGTATTAATAATTGTATATAAATGAGAAGAGGGATGATCAAATTGTGTTCCAAAGTCATCGTTTGGAATGAGATTTGAGATACTGATTCACTTTAGATTTTGAGTTAAGTATTTATGGTAAAATTTAATGGGTAGCCACTCAAAGTTGAGAAAGGGGATAGTAAAACTTCCAAAGTTGTAAAGAAGATAAAATAGGAGATAACAAAGAACCAAGTCAGTGGAAAAAAAAAAAAAAGAAGACAGGAATAGTGAAAATAATAGTAAAACTGTGACAAATACAAAGTACCAAGTAATGTGTAGGCAACAACTTGATATGTTTGCATAATTACCATAATTGTATAATAAAAGGACTAAATTTACTTGTTGAAAGAGAAATTGTCTAATTGGATCTTTAAAAATAATAAAATCTTGCTAATATCCAAGATACTAAGTTTTAGTTGATTCTGATCACTTTCAGATTTCTAACTCCAGTCACACTCAGATGCAGTGTTTTACTTGCCTTCAGAAGATCCAGGAGGATATTCTGATCACTCTAATTTGGCAAGAACTATAATTAAAATCACTAACAAATGGTGAATCTTCACTACTTATCTTTATTTATTAGGTTCTATAAGGCTCTACTCTTACGACTAACAATCAGGTTCTATAAGGCTCTACTCTTATGACTAACAATCATGTTATTTTATTTTTCTTTCTCTTTTTGTATTTTCTTACTGATGTTAGATACCTTTTATGGTTTTACTTTTGTAAACTGTCTTTTAAATATTTTCGTATTTTCACTCTCCAGTGATATCAGCCCACAAATCTAACCAAATTGTTTTGTTCTTTGATTGTTCTAATTCCTTGATAAAATTAGACTTTTTGTTCCCAAAAGCTTCTAATTTACCATGTTAGCCTAGCTATATGTTCTCCAATAGGTAACATGAAATTTGAATGTATCTTATTTAATGATTCTTGAATATGAGTACGTCTGTGTCCTTGGCACAAAACTGGTGCTAACCTTCATTTATTCCTTCTAAGTAGCACTCACATACATACTTTTCCTCCCTGCTATTAACTCTGCTTTTAATTCCTACATTCTTGATGATTGTTATTGATTAGTGAAAAGTAGACAGAATAGTGTCTAGCTTATGGTAATGTTTTGTTATTTTTCCTATTATTTATGTTATTATGTTTAAACCCATTTTAAAATTTAAGCTTAAGGTTTTGCTTTTTTGTTTGTTTGTTTGAGACAGAGTCTCACTTTGTCACACTTGGAATAGTGCCATGGTGTCATAGGTACAGAGCAACCGCAAACTCTTGGGCTCAAGGGATCCTCTTGTCTTTGCCTCTGGAATAGCTGGGACTACAGGTGCCTGCCACAGTGCCCAGCTATTTTTAGAGATGGGGTCTCGCTCTGACTCAGGCTGGACTCGAACTGCTGAGCTCAAGCAATCCACTTACCTTGGCATCCCAGAGTGCTAGGATTACAGATGTGAGCCACTGTGCCTGGCCAGGGTTTCACATCTTTTATGAAATATTTCTTGCCTGCTTTGACTTATATTATATACCACAGATTCTGATTCCTTATAGCAAATGGATGTTGAATGAGGTGACTGTATTATTATTATGCTTTCTCAAAAGTGTATGACCTGCCTTATGTACTCAATTTTGATATGAGGACAGTTAATGACAATTAATGACACAATGGGGGTGGAGGAAGGGGAGAGCAGAGAGAGAAAGGAGGGAGTGGCGGGGAAAGGAAGTGCAGAGAAAGGGAAGGAGGGAAGGGGGTGGGGTCTTGGTGTGTAGCACACCTTTTGGGGGCAAGACATGATTGTAAGAGGGACTTTCCCTAACAAATGCAATCAGTGTAACCTGGTTTCTTGTACCCTCAGTGAATCCCCAGCAGTAAAAAAAAAAAAAGCATATGACTTGCTATCCAGCATATAATGGATATTTGATCATTAATTGTGAATCTTGATGATTGAGAAAGCCTTTTTATTTATTCATTTAGAAAACACTATGAAGGAATTACTTCTAAATGCACATGTTGAGTTACAAACCCCTAGATTCTTTTTTTTTTTTTTTTTTTTTTTTATACAGAGCCTCAAGCTGTCCCCCTGGGTAGAGTGCCGTGGCATTACAGCTCACAGCAACCTCCAACTCCTGGGCTCAAGCGAGTCTCTTGCCTCCTCCTCCCAAGTAGCTGGGACCACAGGCGCCCGCCACAACGCCCGGCTATTTTTTGGTTGCAGCCATCATTGTTGTTTGGCGGGTCCAGACTGGGGATTTGAACCCGCCACCTTAGGTGTATGTGGCTGGCGCCTTAGCCGGTTGAGCTATAGGCACCGAGCCAACCCCTAGATTCTTATTTTAAAAGTTTTATAGGTTTGGTGGTGCCTGTGGCTCAAAGGAGTAGGGCGCCGAACCCATATGCTGGAAGTGGCAGGTTCAAACTCAGCCCTGGCCAAAAACTACAAAAAAAAAAAAAGAAGTTTTATAGGTTATATGAAATCTGAGGATTTGTGTTTTGAAAAAGCATACTACTTGTTAGGGCCATTAATTTTTTAATCTACTCAGAGGTATTCAGAGGAAAAACATCTGTAACACCATAGGTTATAGTTAGAAAAGGAAATAAAAAATGACTAAATGAATAAAGTATTTATGCCTGTAGTCCCAGCTAACTTGGAAGGCTGACGCAAGAAAATCACTGAAGCCCAAGAGTTTGAGGTTGCTGTGAGCTATGACGCCACTTCATTCTACCAAGGGTGACATAGTGAGACTGTCTCAAAAAAAAAAAAAAAAAAAAAAAGACTAAAGTATTTTAAATTTCAGTAGTTAACAGGCTATGTGTATGTTATAGAAGAGTGTTCAAACTTGTGTTAGAGTGAGATCTATAAAATGTAATTAATTTTTAATTTCAGTCTAATTAGAACTTGATATTGTAGAAATGTTTGTGAAGCCTTACTTAGAAGAAGGTATGACACACACATAAATTGCCCTACAGAATGTAGAAGTTCTGAGCAAAGCTAAATTGGGAATTGAAGCAGTTTGTTAAACATTTGATCAGACCTTAATATTTATGGCAAATTAATAGTCTCAAATGTCTAGAACAGAAGACATTTATTATAGACTTTTGGAGTGATTACTTGCAGACCTAATATGAAAGTTGCTGATATAAAGTTCTTTTTCCCCACCACAGAATTTTAACTTCAATTTATTTTATCTAAAGATTCTTGCAAATAGAAAGCCCTGGACAGGTTTTTGAGCAGGGTCATCATTGTTAAATTGCATTTTAGAGCAGCAAGGTAACAACCTGAAGTATATAGTTCAATTCTCAGGGTGTTTAAATATAAAAGACAATGAGTGTTCTAGGTCAGGGCCTGCAACAGGTTTTACTGTAAATAAACTCCAAATATGTGGAAATCTGAATGTAAAAGCAAAATTGTGTATTAATATTGTATCAGAACAAGTTTAAAATAAGGAAAACAGCTAAGCATGGTACCTCATGCTTGTAGGCCAAGGCAGGAGGATTTCTTGAGATTAGAAGTTGAGGTCAGATTGCTTGAGGAAGAGTAGGACTCCCTGTCCACTAAAAATAGAAAAATGAACAGAGTGTGGTGGTGTGTGCTTGTAGTTCTAGCTCAGTGGTTCTCAGTTCCTTTGGGTTGTGACCCACAGGTTGAGAACCACTGTTCTAGCTACTCAAGAGGCTGAGGCAGGAAAATCACTTGAGCTTAGGAATTTGAGGTAACAGTGAGCTATAATGATGCTACTGCACTCTATCTAGTCCAGATGACAATGAGATCCTGTCTCAAAAAAAAAAAAAAAAAAAAGAGGAAATGTTTGAATCCAATGTCAGGATAGGTTTACTTTTGAACAAACACTGAGAGAATAAAACTGAATGTACCAAAACTGGAAGCAACTACTGGATCTGGTCCTATTGCAAGGATGGCTTGTTTCATGTCTTCTCAATTTTTCATTTATTTGTGTACATTGTTATTCCTTGTAAGCCAGGATAGAGGAAGAATCAGAAATTAGGCAGTAGGACTCTTTCTTTAAACATGAAGAAATAAGTACTTTCAGAAATTTAATTTGGTATTAACAATATACTCAACTAATAATGTACCATGTAGCACAATAAGAAAAATAAACCAAAATAAAAATAGAATGAAATAAGAAACATAAACTCTTGTTAGTATGTTAACTACAGTAATGTATGAGAAGAAAGTTATGTAAAATTTTACGTGCTTCTTTCAAATAAAACCATTCTTCTGATACTTCTACTAGTCTTCCTTGCCCCTTTTATTCTCTGAATTTCCCATTTCTGGGTATGCTATTTCTTTTCAAATCTGTTCTGTATTCACTCTGCTTTGTGGTTATTTCTAAACTCTATATTAACTTTTCAAATACATATTTGTAAATTGCCAGATATGTGCATTGTAAATTCCCAACCCCCTTTCTGCTTTGTTAGAATTTGTGGGGGGTGGGTGGGGTCTTAAGTCAAAAGGATAGGGGATATGGACATTGTGGATTGTGTTATTCCAGGAAACTAAATCAACTATATTGAACAGTGTTTGTATATAAATGCAGTTTCATCATAAATATAAGATTCAGAAGTTATGGTTACTTTTTCTCATTTGCAGGAGATTGCAGTGTTGATGACCAACTAGAGCAGAGTCAAGAAATTCAGGAAAGACATTTCTGGCAAACTCCTTTTATCAAGAACAAAATACTGACTGTAGAGAGAGGTAATGTATTAGGGAAAGTATTCACATTGGATATAGACCCAGTTCCTTCCATAAAAATACCTTGTAAATGTGACCTATATGGCATAAGTTTGCAGTACATTTCAGAATTAATCATCAGTAAGAAAAAGTATTTAAGGAAAAAGCCTGATGACCTTAATGCATACAGAAAATTGTTCCTCAATATTAACCATGAAAAAACTCATATGGGAGAGAAACCTTATGAATTAATTCAAAATAGAAAATACCTCAGTCATAATGAGGACTTCATTACGTATATGAAAATTCAAAATTTAGAGCAGTCCTTTGAATTTGAGAAATGTGAGAAAGATTTCCATGAGAAGGCAGTTATTGTTACTTACAAGCAAGCTTACACAGGAGAGAGTCCTTATGAACATAATAAATGCAGTAAATTACTCTGTAGTCATTCAGCTTTCACTGTCCATAACATGGCTCCAAAAAGAGGAAACTTTCGTGAGTTTAATGAACATGAGAAAATTTTTGAAAAATCAGTTCCTCTGAAACATAGAATTCATTTGGAGGTGAAACAGTATGAATGTATTGAAAATGCAGATAATTTTAGTAGATCAAGCTTTGCTAACACAGGAGAGAAAACATTTGAATGTAACAGAACAGGGGAGCCTTTGTGCAAGAAGTTAGTACTTAATGCAACTCAGAGAACACATAGAGAAGAGAAAGTCTATGAATGTAATGAATGTGGAAAAATGTTCTGTGAAAAGTCAAAACTTACTACCCATCAAAGAATCCATACAGGGGAGAAACCCTTTGAATGTAATCAATGTGGGAAATGCTTCTCTAGGAAATCTCTTCTCACATTACATCAGAGAATCCACACAGGAGAGAAACCCTATAAATGTAATGAATGTGGGAAATGCTTTTCTAGAAATTCACACCTTATAATACATCAGAGAACTCACACAGGAGAGAAACCCTATGAATGTAAGGAATGTAGAAAAAGTTTCTACCATAAGTCATATCTCACAGTACATCAGAGAATTCACACAGGGGAGAAACCCTATGAATGTAATCAATGTGGGAAAACCTTCATAAGCAACTCAGTCCTCACAATACATCATAAAACACACACAGGTGAGAAACCCTATGAATGTTATGAATGTGGGAAATCTTTCTCTAGGAATTCGTATCTTACAATACATCAGAGAACTCACACAGGTGAGAAACCCTATGAATGTAAGATGTGTGGCAGAACCTTTTGTCATAAGTCAGATGTCACCAAGCATCAGAAGATTCACATAGGGGGAAAACCTTATGAATGCATTCAGTGTGGGAAAACCTTTAGTCGCAACTCAGGTCTAAAAGTACATCAGAGAACACACACAAAGGAGAAACCTTATGAATGTAGTGAATGTGGGAAATCTTTTTCTGAGAAATCAGTCCTCACAGTACATCAAAGAATCCACACAGGGGAAAAACCATATAAATGTAGTGAATGTGGTAAAACTTTCTATAATAAATCAGACCTCACCAAGCACCAGAGAACACACACAGGTGAGAAACCCTATGAATGTAAGGAATGTGGTAAATTCTTCTCTAGGAATTCATACCTTACAATACACCAGAGAACTCATACAGGAGAAAATCCTTATGTATGTAAAAAATGTAGGAAAACATTCTGCTTTAAGTCAGACTATACAGTACATAAGAGAACACACAGAGGGGAGAAATCTTACCATTGTAATGAATGTGGAAAAACCTTCACTTGCAACTCAGTCCTCAGATCACATCAGAGAACACACACAGGGGAGAAGCCCTATAAATGTACTGAGTGTGGTAAATCCTTCTCTGAGAAGTCAGTCCTTACTGTACATCAGCGAATACACACAGGGGAGAAACCTTATGAATGTAATGAATGTGGGAAGTCCTTTTATCATAAGTCAGATCTCACTAAACATCAGAGAACACACACAGGGGAGAAACCTTATGAATGTGATCAGTGTGGAAAAAGCTTCAGTTGCAACTCAGGCCTCAAAGTACATCAGAGAAGACACATAGAGAAACCCTATGAATGTAACGATTATAGAATCATCTCTGAGAAATCAGTTCTCACAGTGTGTCCAAGGATACACAGAAGGGAAAAAATCTTAGAAGTGTAGCAATGAGAGATAGCTTTCTCTATGAATTTATACCTCAAAATATGTAGTAGAATTCACATAGAATATGACCCCTATAAAGGTAAGGAACATGGCAGATCTTTTACCATAAGTCATCCTTCAAAGTAAATAAGAAAATACAAACAGGGAAAATACTATATTACTGCAAAGAATATTTGAAAAGTTTTTGTAAGACAACTAAAAATACACATAGAAGGAACTCTGCTAATGCATATAGGGAATGTGAGGAAATATTTTACTATAAATTAGAACTTTTTTTTGGTTGGGGCTGGGTTTGAACCCACCACCTCCGGCATATGGAGCTGGCGCCCTACCCTTTTGAGCCACAGGTGCGGCCCTAAATTAGAACTTATTAATGAACAACTTATATAGGAGATAATCCTCTGCCTCAGATATAGGTAAATAATATTCCAGAAAATGGCCATTAATAAAAATCAGTGAAACCAGAATTTAGGGAAAATCATCAATGTCTTGGTGTGGGTTTTTTTGTTTGTTTGTTTTTTGAGATATTTACTTATTTTATATTTGAGAAATAATAAGGGTAGTACTCAAAAAATGCCGCAAATGTAGTTGATCCTATGTCAAGAAATGCCATTTTACTGAGCAAGGTAATTCATAATTGAGATAAAGTCATAATGGATGTTTTGATTTTGAAGGCATTAATAAAAGTTCAGATTTTATTGTATCTCAAGATTATATTGAAAGCCTGTTAACTTAGGAAATATGGATAGAAATTTTCTTCTAGATACAATGTTATGCTGAAAGTCATGTTTGTTTTATTCTGCCTGATTTTTTTATGAAAATCTAACTGGAAATAGACTTTTATAAAAATATAAACTAACATATGAATGTTTTATAAAAGCATAAATAAATTGAATACTTTTATCAGTTTCTGATTCCAGTTTGGGGGGAATGTGCATCAGTGTGTGACCCTATTGTGAGCTATCATGTGTCTTTTTTTTTGAGACAGTCTTACTCTGTCACACTGGATAGAGTGTAGCGTCATCTCAATACACTGCAACCTCAAACTCCTGAGTTCAAGCAATCCCCCTTCCTCAGCCTCCCAGGTAGCTGGAACTACAGGTGTGCACTACTGCATCCAGCTAGTTTTTCTATTTTTTAGTAGAGATAGGGATCTTCCTTTTGCTCAGACTGGTCTCAAACTTCTATTCTGAAGCATGCCTCCTGCCTCAGCCTCCCAGAGTGGTAGAATTTCAGGCATGAACCACTGCACCTAGTCCATCACATATCTTGATTAGTCTGTTCCCGATTTAAACTACTGTCTCTGCATGTACTGCCTAATGGTCTATTTCATCCAAGAACTTACCCCTGGGGACTCAGGATGGACCATCCTCTTACCATAACATACAGTAGGATCAGCTAAAGGCAGTAGCATATACCTTGGCCTTCAGACTGGGTCTGCTTCCTCTTGCTTGGTGCAAAAAGAGGAGAAACAACTTTAAGTGTATATATGCAGCTAGAAGGCTTCCTAGAATCCTCTAGGACAACTGAGCTTGGTGTTCAAATTCAGATTCACAAGAAGCTCAGTGGGAGTAGCTTTCTTGAATCCAAGCCTTTTGACTTGATTATAGCCCACCCTTTTAAGTGGGCTGGTGTAGTTTTCGTGTGATATTTAATAGCATAACCCTGATGTACCTATTGTAGCTTAGAAGTATTGAAAAAGTAGTTGGAAGTAAGTGCATGCCATTCCCAAACCTGCTCTTCACTTAACCCTTAACCACCTTCAAGCCCAATTCTAGATTTTGTGTTTGTTGACTTTTTGTGTCACAACTTTTATTGTTTCTTTTCATATATGCACATATATTATTGTGTATATCTAACAACACATTATTGTTTTGCAAGTATTTATATTGGGGGAATATGTGTTCAACTTTTGTCTTCAAATGATGATTTTAACCTTTTTATGTATTGATATATCTAGTTTTAGTTAATTTTAATATAGTGAATGACTTTATATGTGTTATAAATATATTATTCATTTTCTTTTTTATAAAAGCTCCTAATTCATAGTTTCACTACTAAAACAATAACCTGTGAAAATTTTTACAAAACAACTCAGGTATAATTTAAACATGTAAAATATACTTTATATTAGAATTTCTATTAATCCTATTTAAATCTTATTTTTGCAGGTGGACATCATCTTTGGGTTTAGTGTGCAGTTCTTGGCTTTTATGGTCTGTGGTTCCAGTGAAAGTTCAGTTTTCATAGTCTTTCTGGTGTAGTTTTCTTTTGTTTATTTCATCTAGTACAGCTGGTTCTTCCATTTGTGCCCAGTGGTGGTGCTGCCACATGAGGGAGCCTCAGGAATTTCTCCAGTCTAGGCTATGGGTGTCTCCTGATGGAGATGAGGGAGATTCTTAGTCCTCATAAAGACCAAAAGGCTTCCTGCACAATACTTGTCTTGCCTGGGTCTCACTTGCCTTAGTGCCAGGGGTCCTCAAACTTTTTAAACAGGGGGCCAGTTCACTGTCCCTCAGACCGTTGGAGGTCCGGACTGCAGGCCCCAGGATGAGTTGGCTGCTAAACAGGACAGGCAGTGGCAGCAAAAACACCCATCTGGCCGGATTAATGTCCTCCATGGGCCGCTTGTGGCCCAGGGGCTGTAGTTTGAGGACACCTGCTAGTTTGTTCGGAAAGGGAGGCAATTCCTCAGCTTGCTAATTATTGGGGGATTATCCATATCTGTCCTCCTTACCAGGGGTTTCAGGCTGGCTAAAAGTTTTAAAAAGGAATTCCTTTTTACTTCAGGAAGAAGAGTGAGCTTACCAGGACTGCTTTCTCTTGCTAGCTCAGGAGTTGGGAAATGCTAGGTCTCAGTCACCTTATTCTGTTGAGTGGAGAGAGAGAAGATACTGTCTGTTGAGTTGTTCCTGCAGTTCTCAGGTCATATGCCAGTTTACCTGTTTACCACTTTTCAGAGTTTTCCTTTACTTGTCCCTTATTTTTAGAGTAAGTGTTTAGCAAAGAGGAGCAGGGAGAAGTGGGAGCATGCCATTTTGTCTAAAAACTCTATTCCAATAGTTTGCTTTTTTTTTTTCTTCAAGACAGTCTCATTATGTCATCCCCAGTAGAGTGCGGTGGTGTCACAGCTCACAGCAACCTCAAACTCTTGAGCTCAAGCAATTCTCTTGCCTCACCTTCCCTTATAGCTGGGACTATAGGCACCCCCCACAACCCCCGGCTATTTGTTGTTGTTGTTTGTTTAGCAGGCCCAGGTGGGTTCAAACCCACCAGCTGAGGTGCATGTGGCCAGTGTCCTAACCACTGAGCTACAGGTGCTGAGCCTGCTTTTGTTTTTTATTTATTCCATCTATTTTTCCTCCTTGTCTACCTTTTTCAGTGTATACTTCTCATATTCCATTTAATCAGCAATATTGGCTTAACTTAAAAAATTATCACATAGATCTTTCTTTGAAGTGTACATTATGTTTTTAAATTTTATCATAGTCTACCTTCAAATAATAAATCATTTACCCTTGAAGTACAAAAAAGTATAAAAATGTATACTTACATATCCCCTCTCCTATTTTACACTATGGTGATAATTTTTGTTTCTATCTTTCCTATTTATCCCACAGTGTACATTTGTGCTTGCTTTAAACAGTTACCTTTTTCACCAGGCACAGTGGCACAGGCATGTAATCCCATCTACTGAGGAGGGTAAATTGGAAGGATCCTTAGAGCTCAGGGGTTTGAGACCAATGTGGGCAACATAATGAGACCATATCTCAAACAAACCACAACAACAAATCCACTAGTGGAGAGGGAGGGGGTAAATTGGCCAACTAGAAGCAGCTTTCATCAGAAGCTCTCTTCCAGAAGAGTGAAAATTGGACTGAAGAAAATTCAGAGTAGTTGAAATTGGGATTTGGATCACAAATAGAGAAATCAAGGCACTCAGCAACCCCACTGAGACAAACTGTGAGGATGAAGATGAGAGAGGCAAGAAGAGAACAGAGGATGGTTACAGAGTGCACCAAACTGAAAGATCCTGGTGAATAGAAGGGTAAGGACCACCCCCCCCCCCAATCCAGGAGCTGTACACCTCACAGGAGAGTGCTACAAGGGAAGAAAGTCCAGATTTCCTGTACCTAGGATTAGCCTTCTCTGGGTACCCCTCCTGTCTGGCAGAAAAGTGAGCAATTTTGGCTTCAGCCACCCTGCAGCCACAACCCATCCCCCATCTTTCATTTGTTTCCAGGCAAACTGGCAAGCTGGAGCACTAGCCAGGCCCAGACAGCTTGGAGGGGCTTCCCTACCCCAGGGCACCAGAAGGATAAAGGAGCTTTGAATCCCACCCAGCTCTCATAGCAACTGAGGAAATAAGGGTGACAGAGACTACTTACTCTGTCACTGGCACCATTGGGATTCTTAACTGGCCGTGGGAGGAAAGGGAGAAAGACCTGCCCTCCAACATGTCTGACAGGATCTCTGAAGAGACCTCTGCATTGTGTGGCCCAACCCCCACTGCAGAGGTAATGGTGACTCAACACTAACTTTGGCAAGGTAGGATCTCTCCTGAGTCTCCGTCTCTCTCTTTCTCTACTGTCTTGAGTGGTGCTGTTGAGCATCTGTCAGGGGCCTTCTCAGCAGGCTCCCTCCTAATCCCCCCCATCCACTTAGATTAGGGGCAAATGGCAAGCCACAGATCTCCCACTCCCAACCACATGCAAAAGCTGAGGCCCAGACTTTAGTGAAAACTATAGCTTTTTAAATTTGTTTGCCCATGGGGCTGGATCTGTTGCTGGAACAGTTTGGCAAACCTCAGATTCCCCTTCTCCTACCACAGGCAAAAGTCACAGCATTTTCAAACCTGTTATAGCCCAAACTCTGGGGATAACCCGGTTCTGTTAATTTGTTTGAGAGCAGGACTAGTCTTTGGGCTGGAACAGTTTGGCTTGCTATCCGGAAGCTGCCCCTGTCCTGGGAGTGTCACCTGGGGTTCCTGTACCCAGCTGCACCCCGCCCAAACTAGAGATAGCAAAGCTGGTTCTCAGAGACCCTCAATCTCTGTAGCGCTGAGGGGGAGCTTTGGGAGGCTATGTGTAGGAGGGGCCACAGGTGTAAGTGGTAACTGAGTTGACCAGTCAGTGACAAAGGGGTGTGATGAGCTCCATATTCTGGGCCTCTGGATCTAATTTCTGCCTTATAGTTTTAGTTTCTAATCGGGTCTCCTGCATGCTGCCAAAGGGATTCTAACTACATTACATCTCAAAAACAATTTAGGGACAACCTAACATTCAGCTTAAAAAGTATAATAAATACATAAATAAAATGAAAATACATGGAGAAGAATCAGCAGAACCCAGGAAACATGAAAAATCAGGGTAGATCAACTCCCCTCAAGATACTACAAGGGAGATACAGCTGAAAATACCATCCATAGAGAAATTATGGAAATTACAGAAATAGAATTCAGAATATGCTTGGCAAATATGCTGGATGGAATTCAGGAGAAGATGGAAAAAGTAATC